CTCTACGTCCATCCCATGGGGAATGGGAGCAGTAACAAAGGTGTTGCGTTTATATTTTTGTTGAGTGTATATATGCCATCTGACTTGTTTTAAATAATAACATGCTATTTAAGGTTATCATTTCTTACAAACTGAAGAAGTGTAGCCAGCCAAAGAAAATGAAGACCTCAGAGGGGTCCCATATCACCTGTAAACACTGAGTCCAGCTGACACGGCACCTGTCAGTGGGAAGGAAAGGACACATTTCACTGGAGTGACACCAGGGGGATGTTGGCTTTGCAATCTGGCTCTGCAAATCATCGTTAAAACTTGGCTCGACTTGTGATCAGTCACTACGCCTCATGAAACTCTGGAGGCACAAGGCATCTGTTATACTCAGAGTATTTATTCTTTATTCTAGTTTCCATCTGCTGACATGTGTGCCAGCACATCCTTTAACCAAACTCTCTGCAGCCTGTCATGTACACCAATATTATTGTTTGTCACTTTGAGAATCCCAGAAAAGATTCCATTCCTTTGTTAGACAGCTTCCACGGCAGGTTGGAAAAAATTATTTTACAACATTCATTTCAGATATATAAAATATATAGAGCTCACCAAGTCCAAATTTACAATCCGAGATGGCAGCAGTGCATGTAGTAAAACTCTAAAATATATAATCTGTGCTGCTGAGTCGTTAAACAAGCCACACATAGAATACTGATGAGATTCTTCCCATGAACATGCTGTGGTGGTGTTTTCAAGCGCAACAAAAGTAGGCATTATGCTGTAATGCTAGCGATGCATGAAAGTTTCTACTTCACAAAGGAGCAAAACAAATTTTGTTTATCCGAGCTTTTCCAGCTTACCACTGGAAAGCACTGAACTCAGGAGTGACGTTACTCCCAGCTCTGACATCCAAGGGAAACTGAATGCAGAATACGACTAAATCATGCTTATCCAGCAGGATGGTTTACAGTGTTCTGGCAGCTGATGCAATTACAGAGATGGTGTAGATTCAGAGCTTCAAGTGAAAGCACACAAATTGCAGTTTGCTTGATTTGATGATATCTGAACTCTTTCCATACAAAACATAAACAGTTCAAGTGCATTGAAGTACTTTATTTGTTGTTGTTTTTTACTCCTCTGTGTATCAATTATTTCTGTTTATATCCACAATAAAACTGTTGTTATTGAGTTGTGTTTCTTTTAGTGATCATGCAATGCACATTTTCTTGATGAATCTTCTGACACCATCATCTAAGTTTCTCTGGCTTTGCCCAGGCGCTGGTGGTGATGCAAAGAAAAGATTAGAAAATGAAATAAAAGTCCGTAAAACATCATTCTTATATTTCATTACAGCTATTTTCACTCATTTCTCAACATCAATCAGCAAAGGTGGTGTTTAACCTGACTTCTCCCTACCATAAACTCTGTGTGACGGTGCAGCTCATTGTTCAGTGCATTCACTGCTGCACCCATCATATGTGCTGCCTCCTCTTTGCTCCATCCAAGCAGCCTTATTATATAAACAACATGCTATATTTCTAATAGTGCCAATGCGTCTGAAGCCTTTTCCTGTTGCGTGCTACATGTTAGAAAGGACATCAATGGAAAATATCCTGACCTGACTTACAAGAAAGGATGTCCCAACTTCATCTGTGCTATCTTCTTTTCTGTTAAGTTAAAGAAGATACAAGAAATCTATTTAACAGATGTAGGTCGAGCTATGGTGTCATCAGTATAGATGAGGAGCTAAAAGATTTGCTTCTAGTTAAGTGCCTCAGCTGCAATGATAGCGTCATTCTTTTAAAGTGAGCCAAGCCAGAGAGCCAAGCTTGTAATTCCCAAGATGATTGTTGGACTGACCTTCACCTGTGGACCCGAGCTTTGTGCAGTGATTGAAAGCATGAGGCTGCAGCTTGACTCCGAGTTACAGGTTACTAGGTCAGTGGTCCTCACTTGAGAAAACCAGTGAATGTGGGTTGGAGCAGATTGTCAAGGGGGCCAGAGGCCTGTACCAGAACTGCACTCAAGTGCGGAGGCAGAATAGTTGAACTAAAGAAGTTTTATTTACAACAACACAGGGAAAACAAGGAGAGACAAACCAGGGACCTTAGCATGGCGTTATACACAATATAATGCTTAGTGGGTGGACACTAGTGTGGTGGCGAAACAAAAACCTAGAAACTTGACTTCATACACAATTCATTACAAGGCAGAGAATCCTAGTGTGGCAGCCCGAGGTACATTACATAAGCAGTGACTGGTGGCGTGGTGCTCACGGTGCATACTAAAGGGAGAGAGAGAGAAATGGTGTTAGTGGGTGCATGGGTTGGGCCAGAGATTATAGTGAATACTGAAATGGACTGCCTTACTTGGGTAGGAGGAGGCTGAGGCAGAGGTCCGAGTGGGTGGCAGAGGAGTGTTTAGGAGGTCTGACCTGAGTTTCCTAGGCCCCTGCGTGGGGTGGTGAAGGCAGGCAGGTAGTGCGGTTGGTGATACTGGAGTGTGACTGAGAATACTGAGAGGGTTTGTGTCCAGAATCCAAAAGGTGAACCTTAGTGGTGGTGTTGTGCCATAGCAGGCTGGCAGAGCAGGAGACCCGCCGACAAGGCAAGCAAACAAGGAACTTGGCTCTTGAGCTAGAGGCTGTTACCAACTTAGGTGGGTTGGTGAACTGGCCTAAATACCCTCCCTTGATTGCCCAGAATGAACTCCAGGTGAGATGTGACTAATGGACCTGTGGTGTATTTTTCTTTGTAAGTGTTGTAGCCATGAACGATGACTGATTAGGAGTAGATGGTTGGACTTTTTAGAAGAATGTGAAACATTTTGGAAACATTGGGATAACTCTGGTTGGTTACGCACACAAGTGCAGGAACAAGCCTATGCTGTATATGTCTAGTAGATTTAAACAGGCTGGCAGAATCATTTTCCTTTCTCTCTGTATCTCTCTTTTGGTCAGATGAGAGAACAGCTGACTGGCCTTGTGGTAATGAGCCCCCAGCGAGGACCTGTCCCAGTGGGAGCGAGTGTAAAGTGTACTGGACCGGACCCAACTTTGGTATTACCAACTTCGACAACATCCTTTTCGCAGTGCTTACAGTCTTCCAGTGCATTACCATGGAGGGCTGGGTGGACATCCTTTACAGCGTGAGTCTATCCACACTAAAACTTTGAACATCCACTTATTTGTTATATTATCCACAGAGATGTTATTTTTCCTCATTCTTCATCAACTTTTCCAGTTTTATTATCTCCATATTTTTATCTCTCTTTTTTGATAATGATATCAGGACATGTATTTTGCTGATCTGAAGAGCATGAAACCTTGTTCTAATTCTATGCACTGATCACAATAGTTTTATACTGTAGATACTTGTGGCTTGACTTCATTTCTTGTTCTATTTTTGCATTGAGATAAACCATGAAAGTGCATGAATCTCGTGACCTTTCCTCTAGCACTTCCCTCAGTGCAACCTTTACAGTGTTGGCCTACCACTGGAGGTTAAGGTTAGACGAGCAGAATCATGCTGTTTTTAGCTTGTTTACCTGGCAGAACTTTAAATTTTCTGAAAAAAAAATTGTGCTTTGGGTCTGTGTGACCTGTTTCCTCCACACTCACATGGAGCACACATTGACACCTGGAACCACGAAGGTATTTCACATTGATGCATTCATAAAACTTGCAGACTTTGGACTTCTTCATCTTTGACCATGCCTTTTTGTATGCATACTGTAAAACAATTGCTCAAATGTTGAACAAGTAAACAGGGGTCCGCTTCAGTGTGTCAGTGTCAGTCTAGGTTTCTGTTTGTATGGTAGTGTCACTGTTCAGTGTTAGTGTCCCTGTGCACTCACGTCCACAGAATACGAGTCAGTCTGTTTCTTTTAAACGGAAACAGGAAAAAAGTCTTACGCTTCAACGCTTCATAAAAAAGACCAGCCCCCAAACAAATTAGAAGTTAAATGACCATAAATGAAATGAGAGAAGAGCTTAAAGAAGAATGTTGTCCACTCACTGGTGTTTATCTCCGATTGGTTATGATAAAGCAATCAGCAGTAACAAGTAAGTACGTAATGGAAAAATACATAAAAATTATCAGTCGTGTTGAAGAGATTGTTCAACCCAAAGAGAGACAGAGAACCAGAGTGCACTTGAGTGGAGTCAGAAAGTCACTTAAATTAAAAGATGCAAAGCGCTGCACACTGATGGCAGGAAAAAAATGTCTCAAAATGAGAAAAGAGTAAGCGAGAGAAAACGTGGGATATCCAACAACAATCTGACAAAGGTTGAGACAGACTAAAAGCAAACACACATGGAGGGAAGGACAGTAAGGAGTCTGTAAACTAAATCAGGCAGTAATGAGAGCAGAAAACTGGAAGGGAAAAGCCAGACAGAGGGAAACACAAGCAGGCACATTAAAAAGAAAAAAAACACTTAGCAAAACAAGAGCTGGATATACAAATAAAAAATAACAAACACTAAGGATAATTACATGGATAATATAAATCTGTGAATCATGTTATTCGAGATGCTCTTTCTTCTTATGACGTTTTCAGTCCTGCTAAGGGAACACGAGGCACTCCCAGGTCAGACAAGATATATAATCTCACCAGCGAGTTCTGGGTCTATACTGCGGGGCCTCCTCCCTTTGGGCATGCCCACAAAGGGAGACATCCCGATCATATACCCAAACCACCTCAGCTGGCTTTTCAGTGGGAAGGAGTGAGTCTAGTTTGAGCTCCCTCAGGATGTCTGGGAGTACGTGATGTGATAGAGTAGTGGCACTAACATTGCAGTATACGACAAATGAAAGACATAAAAATCAGAGAGGAAGCTTTTTAAATTACAGGCTGTGCTCTGCAAAGCAAGTAGAAAAATGTGATATTTTTATTGGAATACCAGTTAAAGCATAAAGATGTGATCAATTGTGGCTGGAAGGAAAGGGAAAGATAAGCAATTTGGTTGGCATATTGAAAATTAAAGACTCACCCAGATTCATTATGCACATTCACAAACATCACAGAAGAAACAACAACACTGGCTGTTTTTTCCAAAAGAAAGCGGCTGTAAATTTACTCTGTGGTTTTATTTTAGGGCATGAAGATGCCTCTTTCTCCCAGAGCCTTCTTAATTCTGTCAAACATAAATCTTAGATTTATTTTCTGTTTGTTTGTTGTGATGCAAAGACACATTTTCCACAGCTGGAGCCACCAGAGCACATTAAAGGATGAGAGGAAACATAAGAAAAGAGGGAGCCTAAATGTCACGTAACATTCTGTGCTTGGACTCAAAACAGAGATTTCTTGTGTCTTAGACAACTGGGTCACTGGGTTAAACCCCTCCAGCCTTTTAAGTTTCTAGTACTTTTCGTTTCTATCATAGACCCAGACAGTTTTGTTATCTAAACTCCAGCACCTCTTTTTTTTTTCAGTGCAGACAAAAGCGTGATAGTGCCTTGTGAAAACACATGATGCTAGAATTCAAGAGAAAAGATTCCCTAAAGGATGCGGGCTGTTCAGCCAAGCAGAATTAGGAAATAGCAACATGTCTGGGCCGATGTGGCAATGTCCATTTTTATCCAGAGCTTCTTGTTTTTTATTATTTTAACCCAATTAAAAACTGTAAAGCAAAGTATCATTTATTGCAGTAGTAGTACTTACCAAATGTTGGGGATTTAGATGATTAAAGTTGCAGCTGCATGTCTTTAACTAAAGAGACATTCAGCTGCCCTGTATTGTGGTTTAATTCACAGTTCAAATTTCTTTGCATCTTAGTAATTAGCAGGGACATTATGGTTTGGTTTGGTTAGGTTATTTAAAGGTTTTTGAGCAGAATTACACACGGTAATGTACAGATTTGCATTAAAAAAAATCACCAGACAAAATGACCTCCAAATCTGAGGCCATGGTTCTCAGCCGGAAAAGGGTGGCGTGCCCACTCCGGGTCAGGGATGAGTTCCTGCCCCAAGTGGAGGAGTTCAAGTATCTCGGGGTCTTGTTCGCGAGTGATGGGAGAAGGGAGCCGGAGATCAACAGACAGTCCGTCACTGTGAAGAGAGAGCTGAGTGTAAAAGCGAAGCTCTCAATTTACCGGTCGATCTACGTCCCTCCCTCACCTATGGCCACGAGCTGTGGGTAGTGACTGTAAGAACGAGATCGCGGATACAAGCGGCAGAAATGAGCTTCCTCTGCTGGCCCCGTTACCCGGCCCCGGATAAAGCGGATGAAGATGGATGGATGGAAATCACCAGACATTAGGCGTGCCACAAATTAAAAGTAATTAGCTGAACTGCAGAAGGATTCTATATCATTAAAGATACAAAAAAGCAGGACATTATGTATCATTTTCATGCAAACCAAACTGAAACTGGAAAAATTAGGAGATCGTGTTCTCCAAAAGTATCACAAACTAATCTGGATGCACAGAGACTCATGTCAGACTGCTCATGTTAGATATCGTCTAATTTTTGTTTCCATGAATATTTCCCAGTTACATGCAAGCCTGTCTTAAAAGCATGTTTCATTTCCCGCTGCATTCTTCCTTGTTACTCCTTTAAACCCCCACTGTGATGTTTTCATTGCCTTCATTTCAAAGGCGGAGAATCTGTCTGCAAAACTGCCACAAATACTGTGACCTCACTAAATCAGAGGGAATACATAATCGCCTTGGTGCTGTTGGTGTGATCCTCCTTTAAATGCATATGCAATGATTAGACAGCTGCACCTTGCAAACGCTTGAACGGGTGACAAAGTGCGACTCCAGCCTGGTGAATGGCTCATACAATATGCATCTGAAAAACATAAGTGCATTTGCCTTAATTATGGGTGATTAATGATGAATTCATCCATTTATTTGCTCAATAAATAAATACAGCTAAATTCTGTTAATTCTGTTTCTTTTTCCTGTTTTCCTCTGTTAATCATCCCTTGCTCTCCCTGTGTTTACATCCTTCTTTCAATTCCCCCAAACACGTCTCCTTTGCTTTTCCCTGCCTTATTTCTTTCTCTTTTTCCCTGCATTCTCTTCTCCCACAAGAAAGCAGCTAACTGGTACTACAGTGGGAGCCACTTACAGAGCCATCTTTCCTTCTTTTCTTCTTCTCGCTCTTCCTCAATTCACTTCAAACATCTCCTGTTGCTTTTTCTGGCTCATTATCCTAAGCATTGCAGCCATGCACCGCTGTGATCCAAGAATGCCTTTCCTCTCAGTCAGAACGTTTTCTTTGCATTTTCAGCCTTTTACATTTCATTCTGCTCAAAGTCATCCCTTTTTGATACACCAGTTATTTTTACTCTGACCAGTTTGTTTTGGCTTTTATCGCTGTATTTCTTGCCCACGTCTCCAACAAGAAAATTGTGTCCATGCACAAATGCAGAATGTGCATATACCTTCATTTCATCGTCTTAATGCCTAGGCATGGTCCTTTTTTTTCTTCTCTGCCATTGTGGAAATGTTTGTATGTGCATGAGCCTGATTTCTGCTCCCATATTTATTGATGAGTAACTGTAGACACTCCTATATCACTTAGTGTGAAACTGAGTCACTTATTGAGATGTGGAGAAAAGGCAATGTGCTGAAGAAATTGTGTTAGAGGCTATCAACTCTGTAATTTCAAAGCAAAGTCAACTGTAAAGGTAAAAACTAACAACACTTATACTCATCTGGCCAACCTCAGATACCTCGAATAAATAAAAAAATAAACCTGATAAAATTTGGTGCATACTACAAATGTCTTCACACACTTCTGTGTGCGATGGAAATTGTTATGACAAGAAATGCAAACTCTTAGAAGTTAGAATTTACAAAAAAACTGCCGCCCCTTATTTTTTCCACACTTCATCAGTCTTTTCTACTTATTTTTCTTTTGGGGTAGCCAATCATCTGGCTCTCTCTCACCTTATTCCTAGCATCCTCCTCTGTCACACCAACCCTCTGCATGTCCTCCTTCACTGCATCTGTGAATGGTCTCTGTGGTCTTTCTCTCAACATCCTCTGTGTGATGTACAGTGAGTGCAGAATTATTAGG